CACTAACACAACTCTCCCTGTTCTACTTCTGGGACTGTGCCTTACTTCCTTCACTAGTTCTTCTCCATCACTCTAAATATGGGTATCCTACCAAGATCTAAACTTTATGTTCCTCTTTGCACAAGGAGTTAGTCAACTGCATCACTCTCGCTCCCTGATGTCTTTAACCCAGCCCTCAGTCCTGAATCCCATTATCCACTTCCACGTAATATACATGTGCTGCTTCACTTCAAACTTATGTCTAGACAGAGCTGCTCTCATCCTGACCTAACTTGTCTCCCTGAAATAATATCTGATATTTAAGATACCCATAATTTGGCCTCAAACAGTCCTAACAATCTTATCTCCAACTAATGCTGCTCTATCTCTACCTTTTCATTCTTCTAAGTTTGTTACTCTTATTGTTCCCCAGACTGACTTTGAGTTTTCCTTACTGTTGGCCTCTTCTCATACACTGCCCTCTTTTGGAAGGCCACCCCACCAATTTCTCTCCATCCACTGTCTTCATCCTTTTGTGCCCATTTCAATGCCCATTTCTTCTTGAAGCCCTTCCTAGTAACATCTAGCAGTTCTTACTCCCTCCTCCATACTACTCCAGCCCACAAGGCTGGCATGGTACTGTCAGCTTGGCAGTGGCATTATCATCTCACACACCAGCCCAGATCGCCCAGAGCCAGATGTGTTCTATCTTCTTATTACAGTAATTTGCACATAGATGTCATTTACTACCTGTCAAAAGATTGCTAGGCATCCTTTTGTGTGGAATACAGGAAAGGGAAATGCATCTTCTAATAAAGGAGATATATATGTATCAGAGCTCTTAGAGTAACAGTACTTACATATTTCTGGCTTGTTAGTATCCAAAATGTGAAACTCCCAAACCCGAGTGAGAGCGTTTGTGAACCTGGTAATGCAGCTCCTAATTTGGCATCTGTGAGGCACTCCATCATGTTCCAGGCAGTGGCAGCCTGTACCAGTGCCCATTTTCCATGTTATTTGGTTATCATCAGTCAAAAATGCAATAAGTTTACGTTTACCTTGAAGAGAAGTGCCTCGGGGATATTTTCAGTACTTGGTGAGAACTTTAGTCATCTCTAGGCAGTTCTTTGATAGGACCCATTCTTCCCATCCTGCACTGTTCTACAGCCACTTTTTCAAAACATAGACTGTATCCTGAGATAACAAAGTTGGTCCCTATACAGAGAGAGGAAACAGCTCCCTTGTGTGTCCATTGTGTAGTGTAGCAAGTCATAAAAGACCGGACAGAGTGTTTCTAACAAGGCCGCATCGAATGCCTGTGTTGGGGCTGGAATCTAAAGCACTGATGTCTGCCTGGAACATCACACTGATGTCTGTATTCGTTTTTCAAGTGTTGTGAAGTACTGCCAGGAATTGCTTACGGCTGATACTAAGTTAAAGAATGTGTAGGTGGAGGTCATGCTTTATTTCTGGAAGGAGAATGAGGCCAATGGTTGAATGCATGGCAGTAAGCATTCACAAAAGCAAGTAATGACTCACTAGTAGGTGGAGAATTGAATGAGTTTCTTCTTAAAGTCAATTTCCTGAAACTCCAAGTGTGGCAGACATCTGTTTTTATTCTCTACCATTCTTCTTTCATCTGGTAACCGCACTCCTCCCTCCCTTTACAGATCTGCTTCTACCCTATTCCTTGTGGGCCACAATCTTCTCGCCCTTGGTTGCAGGGTGAGCATGTGATCCAGGACTAGTCAACTGTTATATGGCTTCAGCAAATTATCCAAGGATAAGTATATAATCCAGGTCAGGCCAATCAGAGCCTTTCCCTGGGACTTTTCATACTGAAGATGGAAGGGAAATGTGTCTAAAAGGATAGAATCACCTAGAGTTCCTGGCCGTCATGGAAGGGTCTACAAAAAGGAAGCTAGTACATAAAAAACAGCCAATTCCTTATATAAAAGAAAAAGGGAGAGAGGCAGTTAAAATTGGAATACTATTTTAGCAGCTGGATCCAGATAACCCTCAGAGCAGTTTTATCTCAGAATTTTTCTTTTTCTTTTTTTTTCCTTTCCACTTAAACTAGTTCAAAGGGTCTCTTAACACTTTTTAGAAAGTGGCCTTGGAAACCAGTAAGTCCCATTTCCTTATTTTACGATATGCAAATGGAAACACAGGGAGACCAAGAAATTGCTGTTATCAGCTGGTTGGTACCAAAGGCCCAATAAGAACATCTTGCTGGTAAGAACAATACAAAAATTAATCTAATAGCACTATCAGAAGTTGATGAATCAATAAATGGATGAATTCATATATTGTTCATAAACTTGTGAAAGAAACCACCAGAAGGGCTAAAAACAAATAGTTTAAAGTGTTTACCTCTGGAAAGTAAGACTAGAATGAGGTGGAGGGAGGACATCTTTTATTTTTGCATTTTATCTCTTCTATACTGTTTGACTGTTGACTACGTGCATATAAAAAATATAGTGCTCAAAAAGACTCTTAAAACATAAAACTCCAGAAGTTTGTAACTTAAAGAAGGTCTTAGACAGTTACAAAATATCCTGGAGGCCTGAGAAGGGTATCCATTCATCCATTTCCTGTGTTTAAAGCCACCAGGGGAGGTCTTTTCCAAAGAATTTCATCAAGCATGACTATTGCTACTACTACTGCCAGCACCAACAGCGTCACCACTATCTAGTGATGAGAGCTAACTGTTATAGAGCACGTACTATGTACAAAACACCATTCAAGGCACTTTATCCATCTAAACTCATTTAATCTTTATAAAAACTCTAGGAGAGAGGCCACTTTTATTATCTCCATTTTACAGATGAGAAAATTGAGGCACAAAGATATATAGTAAGTTGTCCAAGATTATGCAGCTGGAAAGAAGTGGAGATGGGATTTAAACTGAGGAGCTCTGGCTCATGACCATGATGTTACCACATCTGTAACCAAAGCACCACGACTTATCTCGTATTTACCACATGCAGTGTGACTTCCTCAGATACAGCGGACCTTTCTGATTTGGGCTCCACTCAAGACTATGGCTCTAAGTCTGCCCCTCCTATCCTCTGTTTCTTGGTTACTGAGATATAGATATTGCAATGGCGCCTGAAACAGCTATAGAGACAGCCAGGCTATGTTCTGAACACATTCCATACATATAACTTTAGGTAGTTATGTCTTATATGCTACGCTTAAAAACATTTATTGGAAAAACTATAACAATGTACAAAGCAACCTGAAGGAGTTGATTTTGAAACTAAGAAATTAAATTTGCTTCCAGAATTTCTTATTTCAGCATAAGTACCATCAACTAGCACTCATTATATTGAGAAACTAATGAGTTGTTGGTCTGTACTAGCCAAACATCATGTATTTACAGCTAAATATTGTACTTCCAAAATGCGAACAGGAAGATGAAACCAATTAATAAAGGTTCTGACTTCATATTTTCCAAGTATAATATTAATTTGAATTTCTGAGAAAAATCAAGAGACATATATCACATAAGGGCAATAAATACTACCATGGAATTTCATGGTATGGAAGTTCCTACATACTTATGGTTTTGTCCTTCACTCTCCTTCTAGAACACAATGTTTGTGGTAGAAAAAAATAAATACAAGAAGAATTATTTCGAAAATAATTGGATTTGAATTCTTAAAAATAGCTTGGTATTTATTTATGTGTTTGTTTACGAATAACACAGGGTCTTGCTCTGTCACCCAGGCTGGAGTGAAGTGTGTCATCTTGGCTCACTGCAGCCTCAAACTCCTGGGGGTGTGCCACCACACCCAGTGGGATTTTTTTTTAAGTACAGACAGGGTCTCACTGTGTTGCCCAGGCTGGTCTCAAACTCCTGGGCTCAAGCAGTCCTCCCACCTTGGTCTCCCCAACTGCTGGTATTACAGGCGTGAGCCACCACACATGGCCTAAATAGCTTTGTTTCTAAATCACCAACAGCCCCTTTTAGCATCTCCTGCCATTGGGCTACTTTGTGCTTTCCCTGGTAGAAGTGACTGTGCCACCAATTATCTGTGTGGCCTTGACTAAATCATTCTCGGTCTGACTTTCTTCATATCTTTGCAGTATAGTTGGATTATTTTTAAATAGTCCCCTTTAAATATTTTTAAAATGTGCCCATGCTATAAAACTCACTCTTTAGTCTTTCAAGATTGTACATCTGAATATCACTAATATTACTCCTCTGTTATGCTGTTCCATCTCTTGAGATACTGTATCACTAAATATGATGCAATTTAGAAACATTATATCACATGGTGAACACTATAAAGATTACTTTTCAAATTTCTATTAAGATAGGCCTATAACTGAAGAACTAAACATTTCTGAATAAATAATAACAATGTAGCCAATAACATTTTCTACATATTTTGGTCTTGCAATCAATGTGAGGAATGCACATTTGGATCTGGATTCTCAGAGTAATTTACTTCCTCTTACAAGTCTACCATTGCTAGTTTAAATGCTAATGGCCAAGATATACAAGCCAAGGGGTCTGTGGTGTGAATGCAGGGCTTGACTGATCACCAGACTCCCTTCCCAACCTCTCATCTCTTGAAGAAGGAGAAAGTTCTTGAAAAAGCTCAAAAATACATTTTGGCAAGCTCAAGAGATGCAGCTTAGCAGCATGAATTAAGAGACTTGTGACTGTGGAAAAGAACAGTAAATTTTAAATGGCTTTGGCCCTTCTTAGCTTTTGACCAGCTGACCTTGACATTCCTTAGAGGCCAAAGGATGAGATGCAGTGAAGACAGTGCTGCCTAGCCATTTCCCCTCAGGAGGCAGAACCAGTCCCTCCAGCAGCAGATGAAGTCTATCCAGTGTGTCTTGGGGAGAACTGTAATAAATGAGGTTCCCTCCCTGAGAAATGACAAAAACCACAAAAATAATTTCTTAGATGAAACAGCTCAATTATCTAATGTAATTACTCCTAAGGAAAAAATGAGAGAAATTTATCATAGTTACATGAAGTTTCCAATGTGGTTATATATGACTGTGTATAGTCAACAGTTATTCATCTGGCGTTCTATCAAACAGAGTTTTCTATAATATGGTATCCGTGACTGTTTCCAATACAATAAAAATGCTGTAAAATCTTGAAATGCTTTTCAAAAGAATACTTTATAGAATAGCATGTACAGCTGTAGTGTTGAGCTTATTTTGCTGTACTTTATTAATCTTTTCCAAAACATGTAAATAATGAAGTCTGCTGCACACCACATCTGGATTTCATGATTATTCTGTAAGACTTATACAATAGATGGCCCTTCATTTAGGGAAGTAGTACATACACCAGAATGTGCCTTTTCTTTTTAAGATTTAAAACAATGGAAAAAGCCACTGAAGTATGTATAGTATCTGTGTGCCGAGATACACAGGAAAGCGTGGATCGTGTGGATGGAAGGAACCGGGATCATCTCATCCAGCTGAGTAATAAGTACGTTTGGTGCAGTGCCACACAGGAGGCCACCAGCAGAGCCCAGAGTAGTAACTGGGTTTCTTCACTCTTAGCCTCTCAAGTGATGAGACCAAGGTGAGAACTCCTTTCACTAAAAGGCTTAATCTTTTAAATAACCGAACCAGAAAGTCATTTCTAACAAGAACGCAGATAAACATTACAAAGAACACAGAAAAGATATGTTCAAAATCTGTCAGGTTCCAACAAGGGATACTTCTTTCCTGAAGAGAGAAGATGAACCATTGCCTAGAAGTAATGTGTAGCTGACTGTCCAGCGCTTCTATGTCTGAGTAACACAGTCTCATCACTCATGTGTAGGTGTGCATATATACATGTATATGACTATAGTGGTATCAGCAATCATGCATATTTTCAAGCTTAAATATGATGAAATTGTTAAAGGACTATAATCCTAAGTAAAACGAATACAGAGTATACTTAATTACACTTCTGTTCCCAACTTGTCCTTTTAGGCATGATCTTATCTCTTGATTGTGGCCACCAGTAAAGAAAAGCATATCTCTAATCTCAGAAGCACAAGGAGTTCATACAGGAAACCAAGATTAGTAAGTATTTTTGTGGTGAATACCTTTTGAATAAGACAGGATTAATGTAACAGTTAAAAGTATAGAAATAGAAAAGTTATGAATTTACTAGTGATTTTTTTCTTTGCTGTGGACATTTGTTGATCTTTAAAATATATCATGGGAGTAAATAAAACATCTATAGAATTTACAAAAATGTCAAAATGAACCAGAAGACATTAAAATCATTCATGATATATGTTAATGACCTAATAGAGGAAACTTCTTTTTTTTTTCCTTTCAGGAACATCATGCTATCATCTTTCAAAATTACTATGCAGGATCGGTGGAACACTGGACACTGACGGAGTGGGCCCTGCATCCTTCACTGCTTCCTCATGGAGGGATCTCCAGGAAGGGGGCCCCCTTTGCCTGTCTCCTCCCTTTGTGGCGAATATGGGTGGGGGATGGATCTGGGCATGCTCAGATCAGCCCCTCCCTTGCTCTTCTGTCTTTGGATCTTGCTCGCAATCAGAGGGCTTTTTCTTCCTGTTTTTTGGAGGGTGGGATCTGCGTGGAGCTGTTCAATGCTGCCTGTGACTGGGTGTTAGTATGCTTAGCTCACGGTGAAGAATAAGACAGCTCATGAGGCCCAGCAGTACATCCCCTTTCTCCTCTGAGTTTTCCCCAGTACAAATCTGGTGCTTGGATCTCTTTCTGACTCCTCAGTTTATCTGTCAAATGGTTCCAAACTTGAGTAGGGAGAGAGGATCATCCCCTGTCAAATGTACACTATTCATGCACTGTAATGGCGTAAAAGAACCCTAGACACGTGGGCTCCCTTGCTAACAAGTGCACCTTCAAAGCAATAGTCATTATTTAGCATTTATCGGAAGAGGCTGGCCCCAGCTCTGGTGAAGGGCAGAGAAGGTGTGGGTGGCCTCACACGTTCTCAATGTCACAAAATGATAGCATTAAACAGACCCACTCCCTCATGGAAGGCGATGTGACGACCTTCTATTGATATTGCAACATGTGTCTCTGGCAGCAGGATCTCAGTCCTTACGTAAGGGATATGGGATGACTTCCTCCACTTCATGTATATGCTCTCCCTATGCAGATCTGGCAGATGCAAATTTATCCATATCTTTTCATTACCAATGAAGTTTTAGTATCCACATTCCGTCTGTGTAACCCTTTTTATTTCAGCTGATCTAAATAATTAGTTCAGATTTACCCTGACAAATGGCTTTTACCATTTTTAGTTTCTTACCTTATAACAAAACACTGCCATCAAGTTTTCATTATGAAAATGGCTGATGGCAAGGGACCATATGAGAGAGTGCAGTCAACAACACAGTCTTTTTGCCCAACAGAATTTGACATTTTTGGCTTAGAGAATTAAAGCACAATGACTGTTCCTGAAAATCAGCACAGTAGTTGTAATAAAACTTTTTTCTTGGCTGGGCACAGTGTTGCATGCCTGTAATCTCAGCACTTTGGGAGGTTGAGGTGGGAGGATCACTTGAGCCCAGATCTTGAGACCAGCCTAGGTAACACAGTGAAACCTCGTCTATGCTAAAAATTAAAAAAAATTAGCCAGGTGTGATGGTGTGAGTCTGCAGTCCCAGCTACTTGCTTGAGCCCAGGAGAACAAGGCTGCAGGGAGCCACGATCACGCCACCACACTCCAGACTGGGTGGAAAACAAGATCCTGTCTCAAAACAAAGCAAAACAAAACAACTTTTTCTTTTTAAAATTGAACTCCTTATTATAACTGCAGACATTTCTATATAATATTTCTTTTTAATCTCTTTTGAAATTAAATCCTATTTTTAAAAGAATACACATGATTAAATAAAAACAAAAAACCCCTCCAAACCCTATTGGATTTCCAACCTCAGCTCACAACTGATACCTTATACAAAAGTTAACTAATATCAGTCTTCGACAGGCCAGGGATGGTGGCTCATGCCTGTAATCCCAGCACTTTGGGAGGCTGAAAGGGGAGGATCACTTGAGCCCAGAAGGTTGAGACCAGCATTGGCAACAAAGTGAGACCCAGTCTCTACAGAAAACTAAAAAATTAGCTGGGCATGGTGATGCATGCCTGTAGTCCCAGCTACTCGGGAGGCTGAGATGGGAGGATCAAGTGGACCCAGGAGGTCATGATCTTACAGCCACTACACTCCAGCTTGGGGGACAGAGTGAGACCCCAGCTCTAAAAATATAAAAACAAAATAAAATAAACAAAAAAATCTTCAACATAAATGTGAATCTAAAACTGTAAAATTTCAAGAAGGAATCACAGGAGAAAATCTTTGTGACCATAAGTTAGGTAAAGATTTTTTAGATAAGACAACAAAAGGGTGATCCATAAGAGAAAAGAAAATTGATGCATTGGGGCTTCATCAAAATTAAAAACCTCTGCTCTTCAAAATGCAAAAGATACAAAGAGAACACTGAAAAGTACATCTTCATCTCTTACTTTTTCTTCCCAGTCCAATTTCCCTCTCCAGCATCAACCAAATACTATTACCATTTCTCGAGTTCCCTCCTAAGCTACCCCATACATAATAAGCATATAGATACATATGGTATGGTGGTTCTAGTGCTTTTTTACTGAGTTTTTTTTAAACACAAAACTTCCATATTCAATAGATTTATTTGATTATTCAGTGTAGTCCTACACTCCCAACAGCATTCACTGGTCATCCATGTAGCTGAGGCAAAATTCTTTGGAAGGAATTAGTTTTGAAGTTTACTTAAGCAAATATGGAAATAAAACATTAAAATCTTTAATTTGTTTGCCTTGGTTAAAACAAACAAAAATATTTCCTAAGTTATCAGCTCACTGTGTATTATTTAGGCCATACTTCATATTTTAGCTATGTCACCTGTGGTATCCTGGGAGAAAGATGTTGTCATCTGGGGCCTCACACCAAAATATTATTTGAAGTACATAGAAACCAGCTTCTTCAATTTCTTCAATTTCTTTGGGTATTGTGTTTTTAAATAATGAAATTCTGTCTTAAAGGAAAATGAGGATCTCTTTAGTCACGTTGAGAACTAGAGGGAAGTATTTGCCTCAGGCTGAATTTTTTGTTTTTTGAGACTCTGTTACCCAGACTGGAGTGCAGTGGCACGATCTCAGCTCACTGCAACCTCCGCCTCCTGGGTTCAAGCGATTCTTGTGCCTCAGCCTCCCAAATAACTGGGATTACAGATGTGCGCCACCAGGCACAGATAATTTTTATATTTTAGTAGAGACAGGGTTTCACCATGTTGGCCAGGCTGGTCTCAAGCTCCTGACTTCAAGTGATCTGCCCACCTCGGCCTCCCAGAGTGCAGGATTACAGGCTATTGCCACTGTGCCTGGCTCTCAGACTGAATTAAAATCACCTTTCACGCTCCACAGCACAACTCACTTCCCAGATGACTCACTCAACTATTGGAATGAGCAAGAAGAGTACTCCCATCTCTATTATCTTGTTTTATTTACTTCACAGCATTTATTACTGAAATGATTCCATTGATGTATTTGTTTTTAGACTTTCTGCCTCTGCCCCGACTCCAGCCCTGGGAGTCAGAGGGGGCTTCTGTCTGGCTGCACATGGCTGTGGTTGAAGATCTGGAATCAACAGATCCTTCTCCATCAAATCAACTCCATTTCTACCACTGGGATTGACCCTTATTACTGTTATCTGGTTTGTACATTCAGCAGCAGTTTTCAGACACGAAAAGATAAGAGATGAGCATTTAGATTAATTACCATCAATTCTGCAGCACTGGTTCGGGTGTAAAGGTTGTGTGTTTACCTAATTTCACATCCTCCAGACCTGCACTGTCCCACTATGGTAACTGTTAGCTACATGTAGCTATTAAGTGCCTGAACAGTAGTTAGTCAGAATTGAGATGTATTGTAAGTGTCAAGTACACAGCAGATTTTAAAAATTTAGTTTAAAAAGAGATTGGAAAATGATCTTATGACTAATTTTTATATTGTTTACATGTTAAAATAATATTTTGAATATATTGGGTTAAATAACATGTACTATTAAAATGAATTTCTTTTTCCTTTTTAATGTGACTACTAGAAAACTGAAACTGCATACATGGTCTGCATTTATGGTGGTTCACATTCTATTTTTACTGTACAGCGCTCCTTGAGGCCTAGTTCTAAAACTTCCCTCACTTCTCACAAGGGTTACTGTCTGTCTGTCCTACTAGAGGTTCGCCAGATGCTCTACTGAACAGGAATCAACTGCAGAGCCTCAGAATATAAGAACGTGGTCTCTGAGGGACCAATATTTGGGGCAGCAGTGATAGATTTGTCCATGATAGTGGCAAAAAGTTGTCCTCCAATTTTTTGACAAGTTTGCTAACGTATTTGCTGACCTCCCATCAAGTAATATTAGAAATGATTCTAAGATTGCATTTCTCAAACCTTTCCACTCTTCTAAGACATTCACACATGCTCAGCATGTCTGGGGCACCGTGGGTGCTACCCATATACAGATGAGAGCCCTCCATCTCCAGCAGAGCCTTCTCCTTCAGGCAGTGAGAGAACACTCCATTTCCATAGAGAAGCTCATCCTATTCAGATCAACTACAAGGCCACAGTTGTACAGGAGTCAGTCCTGCCAGCAGCCGTGAGCATGGATAACTATCAGTCATGGGGAGGAAGCTGTCCCCTCCGAAGACTTAGGGTAAAAGGCAGAAGATAGCAGGCTGTGGGGTGAAGATGAATTTGACTTTTCTCTCACGTGAAACGCAGTGTAAGCCCCGAGTCACGCAACAGAGCAAAGCAAAAATGTTGTAACACGTTGACGAGAGGAGGGAATGACCAATTACAATGCTGAGGTTTTACGTTTAAATGCTACAAATGTGATTTTTCTCCAGTTTATAAATATGTTTAAATAAAAGTTTTAATGTAAAAGTACAAAAATGATAGTCTACCGCCTTAAGACGCACAGACTGTTTTTATATTTAGAGTAAAGTGAGGGGGATGGAAGTGAATCTCGATTGAATAGTGCCAGACAATGGGCAGAACATGACTCTTAAACACACATTATCTTTCTTCTAAGAAACTACTATTGCTTCGTTCTTAAAGCCTGCTCTGGAATTTTTTTTTTTTTTTTTGAGACTGGGTCTCATTCTGTTGCCCTGATTGGAGTGCAGTGGCGCAATCACGGCTTACTGCAGCCTCGACCTCCCAGGCCCAAGTGATCCTTCCACCTCAGCCTCTCAAGTAGCTGGAACCACAGGTATGTGCCACCGTGCCCAGCTAATTTTTTTTACTCTTGTAGAGATGGGGTCTCCCTGTGTTGCCCAAGCTGGTCTCCAATTCCTGAGCTCAAGTGATTCTCCTGAGTTGGCCTCCCAAAGTTGTGGGATGACAGGCATGAGCACTCTGGAAAGTTAATACAATCTTCTGAACCAAGGTATGATTATTAGTTATCTTTTGACTCAGAAACCAGTATCTCAGAGAAACGTGCCAAAGTAAAAAGATTACAATGGATACTTTCTTCACACATGAAATAAAAGGTAGCATCTTAATAAAAGTATTTATGCTTGATCAAACTTTATAAAAACAGGATGCCTGGAAAAATATCTTCCAGCGCATTTATGAGTGTATGACTTAAAGAAAAAATGCCCCCTGATGTACTAACTTTGTGTGGCTAAATATAGTTAGCAGCCCTCATGCTTCATAGCGCATTTTCCCCTGGAATTCAGCTAATATAAATAAAACAAAGAAGGGAACCTGGACCCCCTCCATGAACATTACATCATTCTTCCTTATTAGGAAAACTTCTTCAAATCTGAAATTTTGCTCTAAATAATCAGAGTTTCTATTTCTCAATGAGTAACAAGGCAGGGGGCTACCGTCATCAGAAGTGCTGCCGTGTGGGGAGCAACGTGTGTGACGTACAGGCTCGTTTGAACAGTGATGTTTCCAACAGTAGTGATAGTAACACCAGGGAAAGCATTAAGGTGCATTTAGGAAAGCGCATGTAATTCTCTCCAAATTTTTGCTTTCTATATATTTTTGGATATATGCCTATGTTATGGTAAACAAAAAGATGAGAAAAGCAGAAATTCTTAGGTTCTTTTGTAATACTGGTTCTGACCAAAGATTTTTGTATCTGATTGATCTTAATTACACAGGAGGATGCAGTGGTTAAAAATCTAAGGCAGACCTGCCTCTGCTCCCTGAAACACACTTGAGTTTCCTCTTAAGTGATGTCTAATTTGTTAGACAACTTTAGGTTATCTATTTTTGCTCTCAGCCCTCAGCATATTAACACGCTAGTTGATCTAGGCTTCTTGGTATGAAAGGTAAGATTTATGAAGTTAACATGTACATGTAAAGTAAGAATCAATTAAAACAAACATCTTCTTTAAACATTACCTTTCCATGGATTTAAACAGGGCTGTTTATCAGTTTGCTAATTCTACCTGGTGTTTGACGTAAGGACTATTCTCATGAAAAATAAGTTAAAAAGAGTTGGAAAAAACAGTTCTAAATGTGAAGTCCACAATGGTGTTGACGAAGCTAATACCATATCCTAAAACAAATAATT